CTGCATATTGGTAATACAAGGTAAAACAGGATTTGCTTTATATTTTAGACAATGCTTTATACTCACTAAAATGAGCATAGTATACAAATCCCTGCCTATTGAAGGGATCTATTTCTTTGTCCAACACAACTACCAGCATGACTTCACTGTTTAAAAGTGTGTAAGAAATGCTCATTGTCCACTATTGTCAGGCAACTCTGTGTAAAGGCAAAACACCATCATAAAGGATAAAAACTGAAATTTTGCCCAGAATTGAATAAAGGACAGAAAGGGGATTACAACAGCTGCTATGACAGATATTAGAACTAACCTGCTCCAAAATGTAGAACTGGTGTTAAAGTAACTGGGATAATTCCATTTAATTAATATGATATGAGCAAAAAGAAGCTTGAAAAGAGCTTCTTTAAGGTTATACATATTCCTCCACAATTGAAGACATTAACTTTTAACCTATTCTAGCTCCAGCTTGTCAAGAGTTTTGGTTTTGCACAGTTGCTGGATTTACTCAGAATCTACTGTCTTTTGCATAACTGTATATATAAAAATGCTGAATCAGAGAAAGAGTTCCTCCTTTCTACTTTCTAATTCAAAATAACAGCCTTTAATCAAAAATTAATGCAAGTCACTGTAATATGCTGGAAAATACTTATATGCATTTACAGATTTCAGTGCAGCTTTTAAATAGCTGTGTCTGTGCTGTATAACCACAAGCTATTCACATTTTGTTGACAAACTTTCTAAAGCTAGGACAAGCAAGAAACCTTTTTTCCTTTTTTTTTTTTTTTAAACACTTCCAGTAGTTAAACACATTAGAACTGGAAGTGGAGCATCCTACAAATTATTTTTTTTGTCTTATACCACTGATGTTTTTACTAAAACATTAAAAAAATATTCAAAACTGAAGTGAAGCCTTTGTTTGGTAAATTCTACTATGCTGAAAAGGACACTGGCTTGCTCAGAACAATTGTCTCAAATAATGGCATGGGATTAATGAAGATGATCTCTTTTAAAATGATGCAAGCATTACTGAAAAGTTATATACTCTTCATTCTAAAAGCTCATTTGAGAGATACTGCATTTATCTCAGACTGATTTCTGTGGTGATCTATGCCATTTCCTTTGGCATCAACAGTCCTCCAATGAGTAATACATCTTCCTGAATTTGAAACTGCCCCAGACCTCCAGAGGATACCAATTTATAACAGTATATTTATAAACTGTTTCTCAATTTTTGAGTGAAAGAAAGTAGAAAGAGGAAGGGATGTAGGAAAGGGGGAAGGAGGACTGATAAAAAAAAAGATTATTTCAAAAAGGGAAAAAAAGAATCTGATACCAAAGACCTCTTACACTGAGGTCCAACATTTCTCAAAGTAGTACATAAAATAAAAAAAACATTCTGAAACCTACTAGCAATAGACCAGAAATACTTTCTGACAATACTTCCCCCCCACCATTCATTCCACATGTTATTCTGCCCTCTTAGTTTAACACATGGAAAGGCACAGCAACTATCTTTCTTTGCTTTCTCTGGGCATAACTCTATGTGACAAGCAAAATAGCAGAGAGTTTTAAAGTTATAGTGCTGCAACATACTACATTAGTGCGTATAAATTGCTTTCTAAATACTTCATGTGCTTGTAGAATCGGAAAGTTTTTTTAATTTGGTAGCACACCTTTTTGAGTCCCATAACAATTTAGAATAAGGTATTTTCTTTACAGCATATAGTCTTATGATTGTGCACACTGCCTGACAAGTTACAGGACAAAGGTATTTCAATGCCAAGTTACAAATAGTCCTCAAAGTAATCTTTGTGAAGAAAATAGCAATACAGGCCTTATTGGATATGGTGATGCTATGATATGGAAATGCTGAGAGCGATTTTTTCAGCTCTACTAAAAGTTTTACAAGAATTTTGATTCCCTTGAAACTCAAAGATGATAGCATCTCCAAGCATTTCCTCAGTTAACTTTTTTACAAGGACACAAAACAGGTCAGAGGCTATGAACTAAATGGCATGGTAATAGATTTTCATTCCATACAATCAACTTACCATAATATCTCCCTTCAAAAGCTGGGCAGGGTCTATAGCAATGCAGATTTGGCTTTGATTTTCTGACCCTATGCTACTTAACAGGAGAGAAAAGAAAAAGAAAATACATGGTTTAAAGAGACAAACACACACACACATAGACACAAAAAGGCTTTGTGATTCTGCAATTATGAAAATTAAAACCTGAATTCAAACATAATGGAAAATGCTTACAACTTACTAGATTCCAGACGTATAAACTGGTTGCATAGCCTGGTATAACTTCAGAAAAGGCCGACAAGCTGAAAAGAAGTCAACAGAAATTACTGCTTTGTAATATTCAGATAAAGGAAAGCAATTACAACTAGGAAGCTTCATGCACATCTAGACTTGAGCAAAGTAGCACAACATTGACTGTCAAAATATCCATCAAAGCAAAACTGGCTTTGACAACTTCATTTTCCCCTTAAAAAGTGAGGTTTATTTTATTTTATGAAAAAGGCACTTTTTCCTGATCTGCAGACTAGTTCTGAATTGGAAAGGAGGGCATGCTAAAGGATTCTGCTAAGGAAGGAAACAAATTTGGCAAGACAACAAAATTATTAAAGGAAGACAGAGAACAGCCAAAACAAAAGCAAACCCCCGAAACAAAATAAAAAGGTTCTCCAAATTAAATGAAATATTTCATCTCTAGTTTTGTTTCTGAAGTGGTAAGGTCCTTAGATTTCTTACTAGAACAAACAGTACCTTAACTTCACTGAAATAATTATTTTAGAAATAAAACCAGTCTAAATAACTATGACAATGGAACACTGCAAATTCATGTTGATTATATTTTGAAAGACCGGCACTATTTAACTCTTGGATAAGAAAAAACCAGAATTACAGAATTGCTATAGAATCAGCAAGGTTGGAAAAGATCTCTAAGTTCATCAAGTTCAACCATTAGGGTTGGATTCCTTTACTGTACTCATGCACAGTATCTTGTTTTATTGTTTTAATTTTAAAGCCACTTAGTATAGCCAACTTAGAAGCACTGGTGAGGCTGCAGCTCAAGTACTGTGTCCAGTTCAGTGTCCTTCACTTCAAGAAGGACATTGAGGTGCTGGAGCTTGTCCAGAGAAGGGCAACAAAGCTTATGAAGGGTCTAGAAAGTGATATGAGGAGGAACCAAGGGAACTGGGGTTGTTTAGCCTGAAGAAAAAGAGGCTCAGGGGAGACCTTATTGCTCTCTACAACTACCTGAAAGGAGATTGTAGCCAGGTAGGGGTTGGACTCTTCTCCCAGGTAACTAGAGACAGGATGAGAGGACATAGCCTCAAGCTGTACCAGGGAAGGTTCAGGTTGGACAACAGGAAGAATTTCTTCAAGGAAAGGTTTGTTAAGCACTGGAACAGACTGCCCAGGGAGGCGATGCAGTCACCATGCCTGGAGGTGCTCAAGAAGCAACTGGACACGGCACTTAGTCCTCTGGTCTAGCTGACAAGGTGAGGATCAGTCAAAGGTTGGACTGTATGGTCTTGAAGATCTTTTCCAACCTAAGTGGTTCTGTGATTCTGTAATTCTGTAAGTACACCATATCCAAACAGCTTTTCCACAGAAAATCCAATCTCAAAACAAAAGAGATTATATTTTCATTTATTTCCTAAACACAGAAGAAATTACTGTGAAACCTGACCAAGTTCTTAGATCCTCTGCAGTAACAGGGATCACAACTCTTCAGAAACTAGGCAGACATGATTATTATCAACTCTTCATTTAATAGAGAACAAGAAATTCATTTCACCCACTCGTTTTTACTCAGCATATGGATATCAGGATGATACTAACACTGAGATTCATGCAGCCTTTCTAGAAAGCTCCAAAATGAAACAAGACTTTGATCCTACACTTCAATAGGAAAAGTTAGGCAATTTACCTCCCCCAGCATCGAAGCTTGGGATGCCGTGAAGGATAACATAGTGCAGAAAAAGAGGGGTTGCATTCATTTTCACGGATCCAGACAAAAGGCCACTTAAGAATTGCACATATCTAAAAATACAAAATTTATCTGAATTAAATAAAACCAGTAATATCAGGTAAATATATTATTTACATATTGATATTTCTATATCATTAGTAGTGAATAGCATCATGACATTACACCTAACTCCAAAACAATAATCTTCACAAAACAGCATGAAAAGACACTTTCATTTACCACTTTGTTGTTGATATCTTAATTTTAGTTATTTGCATCACTATTCTAAATAAGAAAAGAACTATGCTTTATTGTTGATATCTTCATTTTAGTTTTTTGCAATCACTATTCTAAATAAGAAAAGAACTAGAAGAGATAGTAAAGTCAATCATTTTTGTAGACATTCATAGCTACAACTGTAGGTCTTAAATGGCTTTCACAGCAGCATGATATGGGTCCCAGTCCATTTACAGTGAAGCTCACTTCATTTAAACAAGAAGTGCCCTTGTCAGAAATCTTAGCATTAAGGGCAATGCAGTCAAAAAACATCATAACAAGAAGTGATCTCATTGAGCACAAAACACAGGAAAACTACCATAGCAATGTGAAAATGGTTGTATTTCTGCAATTTAATATCTGGCTTGGTCACAAGCTCATGAGCAAATACATGCAAGTGAACATCATTGCAGTGTCTGGTAAAAAAATTCCTCTGATTGCCTTAAATAGCCAAGGGAAACCAGTATTTAATTTTTCTCTACTGGTTTGAGTCCCTTTTACTTCCATGCCTATGAGAAGACCTCCATTTTCAGCAATGTATTAAAGAAAGAAAATCACCTTTTTCCCCCTTTATGCAGAGATCTCATTAACTGATCTCACACTGCATGCTCCTGGTAACGCCACAACTAAAGATACCCTGCCCAATAACAACAGCTTTACTGCCCCAGAATAGGGCTCATGGTGGTTTAAAATAGGTTTCATTCTACAGAGAGCTAGCAAAGCTCAATTTATTTTGAAAAGTTAACATAAGGTAACTTTGCTTTCTGGTTTTCTCGTTGGTCTTTCTGAAAGTATAAATTTACAAATTGTCACACCTACCTGACAAAATAAAAAAAGTGTAGTAAAATGTTTGTCAGTGTTATCTTGGCACAATCCAGAAATAGATTGTGACATCTCTTTGTTAACAAACAATGCAGTAAGAACACATACAGATAACAGTGTGGTACAAAAGGACTTATCTATCTTGGTCTGGATTCAGGAACTGAAGGACAGATCTCATGATCTCATCAAGCAAGGATTATTAATATAAGATAAAGTGATGACAGTTCAGGAAGCACTAGAGAATCTTGTGGAAATAACCTTCACATAGCAGGGAAGGGAGTAAGGGATAGGTGCAGAAGATAATGATGATATTTCTTATTGGTATGAATTAGAAATGAATTAAATACCTTCTTTGGGATGGCTGCATTAAAGCTGAAACTTTATCATCAAAGAATTTCTTCATAGCAAATCTGTCTAGAGCCTGATCAGCACTGTCAAAACAGAGACATAGATATCATGTTATTCTGCATCGGTGTTATCTTGAAAATTCATCAGGTTACTGCTTGAAATATGCCAAAATATTTGGAAGAAAAAGAGAAGGTAAGTAAGGAAAAAGAAAAGAAAGAAGCATCTAACTAACAACTCTAGCAATTACAGGTCAGACAAGAATGTTTTTTTCCAATGACACCTCCTCATTCCACACCTTAAGGCAGTTTTCTTCCTGAGGCAAAGCACCCACTCTTATTCAATTAACTGGATTGCATACTTCCAACATGAATATGTTAAAGTCATAATGCAATAAACCTTGGCAAACCCAAGCAGCTCAGGTTCCAAAACAAGGATACTTGCCATAATTTCCTGACAGTGCCACTGGGGAGTTGTCTCTACAAAATACAAATTTATTCTCTTTTTCAGAAAGAAGAGCAACATAATGGAGATGAAAACAACTGCCTAGCTCTGACTGTAGTACCAGGCTAGAGGATCATTTAAGCAGTCAAACAATCCATTTAGTCTTTGTTTTCTGTGCCCTGAGCAACCAAGAGAGAAAATATTTTCTTCAGAAGTGTCAATCTTTGAAAAAGAACTGGTTTACATCAGACAACCACAAACTCTTCAAACACACAATTAAGGAGAAACATATTCCGAAAAATACATTTTCTTCTATTCTCTATCCAGAACGGCTCTGATGTGGGTCTTTTGCATCTGTGTGAAGGAAGGCAAGAGGGTATAGAAAAAAGAAATAGAAGTGCCAAAAAGCAGCTGGAATACTGTTAATCGCATATGCCAAGTAACATGCTATGCTGATTCTTTTTTAGCTCTTGCAGATAAAAACAACGTGTCTCATTGTTGTAGTTGACACTGCTAATTTACAACAGGACATAAAAAAAGCAGAAGTTTCAAAATACAAGTACACATGAGAAGCTCAACTTTTAAATTCCAAATCTAGTTCAATCTAAATGAGTTCAGATAAAAACAAATTGTGCAAAGTATACATATACATATCAGGACAAAAATGGAATTTATGCCTATTTTAAAAATTAATCAGAAGTTGCCAATAGTCTTGACAGAGTGCTGGACCAAGGTGTAAAGTTAAGCCTTTTCTTTATGGATGTTAAAAATTGCATCGTGTGTTCTTTGAATATTCTTGACCCCAAACCTCTTTTTTACCCAGTCCATCATATATCTTCACACATCGTCGCCCATGCTATCACCCAGAATTTAGGTACCACTTTTGTAACTGGCCAAAAGACTACTAGTACTTTATTTGTTAAAACCAAGTTGACCAACAATTACAAAGAGCTCATGAGTTCACAGTCATTAAATCTGATGGCACATTATTCCTTCCTAAATGAGAAAATGAGATATTATAGTATATAGCCAAAGGAGGTTTGCATCATTAAGGCTTTTCCATGCAATCATACAATGGTTTGACTTGGAAGAGACCTTAGAGATCATCTAGTTCCAGCCCTTCTGCCATAGGCAGGGACACCTTCCACGAGATCAGGCTACTCAAAACATCATCCTTAAATACTTCCAGGGATGGGGCATCCACAACTGCTCTGGACAGCCTGTTTCAGTGCCTTGCCACCCTCACAGTAAGGAATTTCTTCTTTATATCTCATATCTAATCTAAATCTACCCTCCTTTGGTCTAAAGCCATTCCTCCTTGTCCTATCACTGCATGCCCTGGAAAAAGTCCTCTTCAGCCTTCTTGTAGGCTCCTCTTAGGTACTGGAAGGCTGCCTGGCAGCAGCCTTCTCCCCACAGCTTCCTCTTCTTCAGGCTGAACAGTCTCAACTCTCTCAGCCTGTCTTCATAGAAGAGGTGCTAAGCCTAGGTTCATTAGATTTCACTGAGCCTAGATTTTTTGCCATGTGCATGCTGACAATTAGGAACTTTATTTAGTGTGAACATCCTCAAAGTCTTCCAAGTACAATTTCTAACACAGCAGTTGGTACCCTCAGCAGCGGTACCCATAGTCATTTCTGCTTCTGCAAGGTTGCTGTGTACCATTTTCTAGAGTCTTGATAATAAAAAGAGTCTAGGAATATATAAATCCTAGCTGGGAAACATCCCCAACCTCATTCTTATACGGAAAAGTTAAGTTTTGCCTAGCAGCTACCAGATATTCCAAAATTTAAAGCAAGGCTTCCAAGCTCACTCCTCCCCTGCAGCTTCATGGGAGGAATCCTGAATTTGTTTGGGGTAAAAGGTGATACTTTTCATTGCTGGGCTTACATACACCACCTGGACATGATTGTAATGGCATTGCTAGAATGTATTCATAGCCAGGTACCACCTTTAAGGATAACACAATATTGCAACACTGAGATCACACAACTGTACTACCCTCACTTGACAGATTCTTTCACAATATTTCTCAACTAAATATTGTGAAATTGTGGCAATCACTGTCACAATTACAACTTCAAGATATTCAAGTAGTAATTCAAGAATTTTTTTCAACACATATTGGTGTATAAAATGCACCTAATTTCTTGGTCTATAATGACTTGTCCATCAGGCTTACCATAGTGAATACAGACTATTTTCTGAGATTCTGAGATTTTCTGAAATCCATGAGTAACCTACCATCAACCTATCATGATTCAGGACTCCATCAACTACAGCAGTGGACGAAATCTATTACTGACAGGCTCGTGTGAATTCAGAACCAATTTTGATTTAACCACAGCATTTAGAGTGCATTTTTATTTTAATACATTTATGTATGTGTATATAAAAGAGATCAAGGGAAAATGATTTCATTAAAAACCCAACAAAAACCCCCAAAACACATTCCTTCCTTTTTGAGACCATTTATTAAATCTTATCCATCATTAATTGCCAATTGTCCTTTCATAATTTGAGCACTCCAAAACAAACAATTAAAACCAAGTAATCAGGCACCTATTGTTTGAATTGACTGCAAAATAAAGTCTAGCTTATTTCTTAAACTGCATTCTGCACTTTGATCAACGTCTTGGAATTTCCTATTCAAATACTGTTTACAGATTCTAATAACTGTTTTCGTTAAGTACTTCAGGAATAGTTTCTCACTGATTCAAAAGAGGCAACTTTATGGATATGGCAAATAGATGGGTTTAATAGACTAAATAGGGTATCATTATATAAAAATAGTTTCTCCCACATTTCTCCATTCATCTTGAAACACCCTTTAGAAAGGTTTCCTGCACACCATTGAAAATCTCAGATTCAAAGGGACCTCAGAGTGTCACCTAGTCCAAC